TAAAAATACTACAAAAACTTTTGTTAAAGATATTTTTTAATCAAACTTATGGTTCCCCCTGTGAACCACACAGGTGTTCCGACACATTTGCCTAACCCTTTATATATTTACAGCAAATTATATAAGAAATAAAAAAACGATGGGAAATATTGTTGTCAATTCTGCGAATGCTTTCATTATAAATGTTATATTTATTAACCTTATAAACAAAAAAGGTAAGTGTAACGGTAATGTATAATTATAATTAGTATTCATATTGTTTTTTTCTGAAGAATTTATAGATTAAAAACATTTAGCCAAATACAGACAATTATAATTTATAGCACAGCTGCACCTTATACCCTGTTATTTCTTATAAAATGTAAATTTGCATGCCTTCAAATCATTAAGAAGAATATGTATATGCTACGCATTCCAGTAATATCTACAGACAAGGAATTTCGATGTTAATAAAACTGATACAGTAAAATCTAATTAAACTTTTTTGCTCAATTGACATGGATATGGTCAAACTGTAATGAAACTTAATTGCATATGTATGTACATGATGATATTTCAAATGTAATTTTTCTATATTGTTATTTTAATTCAAATGAATTATACACACCAACTGCTTACGTTTATTGCTTATAACAGGTGCAAACATAAGTGAAAATCGCAAACATGCAACAACGTACAAACAACGAGGTTTGATTCAATGAACTAACACTTTGTAAAATACTCATTTTCATGTACATAAGCAATATAGTATAAAAGAAATATTATAAATTCATATCATATGATCAATCAGGGTCTAAATACGAATGTATTTAGATATATTACAATTTGTATTATTAAACAAAGAAGAGGCGAGAATATAACACATATTACTTTATACTACAATAATCACAATAATTTAATAAATGAACTACAGTATAAAGAAAAATATGTCTACACCAAAACAGCGCCACAAAAATAAAAAAGTAGGTTGGGCCGTTGGACCAGACTAGCGTTTTCCATATTACTTTGACCCGTCAATCCGAATCTAAAGTAAGAATTTCCGGATTATTTCAGGAATAAGTTGAAAACAAAACATGAACTGATCCGGGAATTCTGACTTTAGATTCGAATTTAGCAGGTCGAAATACTATGAGTAGCACTTCTCTGGTCTACGGCTTAGCTCATTTTTGAAGCATTTTTTAATATAAATACAAATAAACAACAAAACACAGGTGTCTTGTAACATGAATATGTATGGGGTCATGGATCTACAGGAGCTTGCTTGCCACGTGTTACGGATTTACGAAGTTACAAGAGGACTAACAGACTCAATCCTGCAGAGTTAGAAGAAGTATAGAAGCCTTCCAACTCAGTCATGTAGTTTCGGACCCATAATGTATCCATGTTCCCACAGAGTCTCATTGTTATACACTCTCACATATTCCGGGTTATGGGGTTAAGGTGAAAGGTGGTTACGGGGCTATGAAGCTACGGGATTATGGTGCCATGAGATTATGAATTCGAATATTTTTCCAATCACTGGTTACTCAGGACAATTTGAAATTTTGAAAACCGCTTTCGAGAGAAGTGCCTTGATGTCAAAACACGAATTAATCCGGGAATTCTGACTTGGTGCACAACCCAAAACACTTTTTTTTTGTTTAATTCATACATAGGAACTACTACTATGTGTGCTGACAGAAGAAGGACAAACATCCAAATGGTTTCTGAAGGCTTTAATCGACGGAGCAGAAACTATGTGTTCCTACAAAATGTTCCAGTAATGCAAAACACGGTAGGTAGAAAAATTGTTGAAAACGTTGGTTTGTATGTTTTATAAATTACTTTTGAATGAAGTCTTTCGTTGTTACTTTGAGAAAAAATTTCTTCTCAGAAAATCTATTTGAAAGAACCTAAAACAGTAAGCCTTCCATAATAATTGAAATTAGTAATAAGTGGAATTCATTTAATTAATCTACGCTAAACACCTACTTCTTTCAGTAGCAATATATCGGCCTTTTTGAGATTTAGTGACCAAATAACAAAATCATTTTCTAGTAGTGGCTTTACATGTGGTTCGTATATCTGAAAGAATTGTCTACTAGTCAATTGAAAAGACTGAGGAGGTAGCAAACGGTGCTTTCTTTCTTATTGATCCACGACGCCGATGCAATATTGGAGTCTAGGATTGTTGACATCAATATGTAGAATTGTGTATTAACTACTCTTCACACCATTTTGTGAGTTCGTATAGATCAGATTGCAATTGTTTTGATAAGAGGATTCTGCAATCCAGAACACTTAGATAAGGAACTACAGTGTGTACGATGCGCTCTTAGTGGAAATGGATATACTAAGAGAAATATCGAACGAGTCATCAGAAAGTCACCTAAATAAAGGGAATGTATATTTGACAAGCACGTGTTTGCCCTAGATGCAATGATGTAAGAGATAAGGCTGCATCTTAAGGAAACATAATATGAATAAAATCTAAAATATCACAAAGAAGGGAACAATTTTTCCCGAAACGAGCAGCAAGGATAGTCTGTTTCAAGGCCCCAGAGTTTAAAGCATGGCAAGTATATGCGGAAAAGCATTAGACAAACAAGCAAGTTAAAGGAGCATAAGTATCACTTGAAGAAGAACAAGGTGAAAAGATCAGCAGTTACAGTACATAGGGCAGACATGCAATAGACCTAACTGATACTAGAATTCTAGTGAGAGAGTGAGAGAAAGAGAAAAGTTTGACCAAAACTCTACAGGACGGAAATAAAAATTCGGCAGATTTCATAAAGACCACGAATTAGAACTACCTAGCATATAGAAACGATCCCTAAATATTAAGGCTCTGGACGACATTGACCAATGACTAGAAGCTAAAAACCAGAATGCCATGAGCACACAATAAATACATAAGCCACCCCGAATTCCGAAATGGTCTAGTTTAAGTGCAAAGCAGTTTAGTGGAACATCATAGAACCCTCCGAGAAGCCAGATATAGAACATCAGTAGGGGCCACTTTATCCATGGATATAGGTAGATCAACTATTAAGGCAGACTAACAGGTTTGTTGTTGTTGATCCGTTTTGTAAGTATTTATGTTGTATCTTTAGAATAACATTGTGATTACCTAAGAAGGAAACTGGTTCAGCAATAATTCTCTCCATTAGTTTAGTACAATATGGCACAGGATTTATTGGCATTTGCTCGCGTCTAGTTTATTTCCTGTTTATTAAACTGCAGTAATAGTCGTTGTTAATCAGGCTTTTGAAAGTTTGGACAATATGAATCTTTTAACACTTTGAATGTGATGAAATCCGGTCCAGGAAAACTGTCAGCTTTGATCTTTTAAAATATCTAAAATTAAATCTTTTTGGAAGACATTTAATAAGAGGTAGGATTCGTGGATAAAGGTGGTTTCAAATGGTTTGCCAATATTTCAACTACCTCAGCAAAAATAGTACACATAATATACTACCACAGTTCCATCCAACTTTTGTAGTAGTGGAGTTGCTACTATAGATGACAGCTAAATATTTGAATGCATATTTGGCACTTCTGGTTAAGGAATTTTCATATTATTTTTGTTTACGATCAGTTCCATTAAATAGTTATTGGAAAAGTGACGATGCTTTTGAAAATAGTCTTCAGATAATCTTGCCGCTATAATTTCGCTAATTTTAGTTCTGGATACCTATAATAAAAGTGATCAGTTTGTGATCAAAGTGTTAACTTTAGATTCCTATCAAAATTATAGAAAATTGTTTTTGGAAAGGGTGGCTCAAAAATCAACGTCAAGCTGGCAAGGGTTGATAGCCTGGCCCACGATTAGTCAGAGAAAAATAAATTCGGCCATGGTAAGTACCTTCGTTTTCAAAATATTGACATTTCTGAAAATGGAATAAATGTTTCGCCTGCCACAGCTACAAAATTAAATATTTTGTGAACCCATTTTGGTACAATATTGTAAAGGAATTTTGTTATCAAATGCAATAAAAAAAATTATGATTTTTACTAAAACTGAATTTAGTTAGTCTGGCTAGTCATGGGCCGACCTATCACCACCTGCTGACTTGACCTTGATTTTTGATACATCCTGTATATTCTGCGTATATGATCTGAATATACCTAGTATTTATTTACGAATGTTTTTTTATTATTTTTTAATAAGTAGAATCGCGTGACTTTAAAAAGCCAAAAATTATTGGGATTGGGGATTAAATTATAAAAAAGTGTGCTATTAAAAATAAGATCAGCTGTATTTCTTGAACGAATTAAGAACGCCGTTACGGAAATATACCCAAAAATAGTACAAACTGGTCACCCTATAAATTTTAAATTTGTTTTAAGCATGTAGATGTTCTTCTATAACTGCTCCACACAATTTAAATTTCAAACATTCACTGTTTGTTTAATTCTTTCACTTCGATTATTCACTTACCTACATTACATGGTGACTATTTTAATCGACTGAGCATTTTTATAATTATTTCCTGTTTAGCCAGCAGTTACTTCAACTCTTGTTGAATCACCCAGTGCATTACAGGTAATTACAGTTTTACAAAGAATAATCATTTTAAAACAAAAGATTAACAATCCTTTTCCATTATTTTACAATATTTTTTTAGTTCACGAGACACCTTTAACTACTCTGAGGGGAAAATCTTGCTTGGAACTGGTAGGAAACGTTGGTCTTTCAAAAATTACGAAATATTTATTGTTATATACCTATTGTGTATATAATATGCCATTATTAATTTTCTAAAAATGCAAATAATTTATTTTCATCATTGGAATAGAAAAATTTAAGTCGTTACTGTTTAGCTATAGTAACAGATGTCCGCCGGGAAGGTATACTACTTTGTTTTGCCGACATTTTGGTAAACATTAGTCTTGACAGTTCATATTTGGCAGTCGTGAAGTACACACGTGGCAAATTTATTATGGAAAAATATTCGATAAACCAACGTGTTTTAAACGTTAAAACATTTTATCAAAATCAATCATCGATTACTGTGACGATGAGAAAGTTACGTGAAATTTTTGGGAGAAACAACGTGCCAGCAAAACGCACTATTTATCGTGTAGTGAATGATTTCGAAGAAAGAGGGTCTGTAGGTGATAGGCCCAAGCATGGACCACAACGTACTGCAAGATCGGCTGAAAACATTGCTGCTGCCCAAGGAAGTGTTCAAAACAATCCATCAACCTCAATTCGACGCCGTGCTCAGGAGCTTGGTCTTCAAATAACAACTTTAGCCACAATTTTGCACAAGGATTTGCATTTGTTTCCATTTAAGATTCAGTTGACACAAGAGCTTCTTCCACAAGACCATTTACGCCGCCGTACATATGCCAATAGGATATTACAGCTCGCCCATGACAACCCCGATATTCATGAAAAAATCATAATGAGTGACGAGGCACATTTTCATTTGAATGGACATGTGAATAAACAGAATAGTCGGTTCTGGGCAATGGAAAACCCGCAAATTATTCATCAGTCACCTTTGCATTCATTAAAAGTGACAGTCTGGTGTGCAATTTGGTCAGGAGGAATCGTTGGACCTTACTTCTTTGGAAATGAAAACGGCGTAACGGTAACTGTGAATGGGGAGCGATATCGTGATATGATTGAAAACTTTTTACCGCCACAACTGCATGCTTTGGGCTTGATTAACATGTAGTATCAAAAAGACGGTGCCACATCGCATACAGCCAGGATTACAATGGTATTACTGCGAGACCTCTTTCCACAACAAGTTATTTCAAGAAATGGTGATGTTGATTGGCCTCCACGGTCGCCTGATTTGACTGCTCCGGACTTCTTTTTGTGGGGATATCTGAAAAGCAAGGTTTATGCAAACAAACCAGAAACGCTTGAGCAACTCAAACAAAATATTCGTGATGAAATTAATGAAATACCGCGTGAAATGTGTGCGAATGTAATGAAAAATGTGCTCAAAAGGGCTCGCATTTGTGAGGCTAACAGAGGCGGACATTTATCTGATATTGTATTCCATACATAATTGCCGACATTAAATAAAACATTTATCAATATAAGATCCATTCTCTTTAATTTAATCAAAAATTATAAACAAACAAAGTAGTATACCTTCCCGGCGGACACCTTGTAGGTGTGATAAATACATATATACCTATATGTATATCGATATCGATAAATATACAGGGTGAGTCAGTTTTTTGTTGACAAACTTTAACAGGAGATAGAACACATGTTTTTAAAAAGAAAAGTCCCTATAAACATATGTCGTAGAAGGCTTCGTTTCCGAGATACAGGGTGTTGAATATAATTTTTTCCTCGAATTTTCATTATAACTTATAAACGAATGCTTAGATTTTTTTCATGTTTGGGGGATAATGCCCATTAATTAAGGGGCATAAAACAAGCGATAAGAATATTTAAAAACTTGCACAGTAGCGGAGTGGAGGGGGTGCTCAACCCTTTTCTTAAATAGAACTTCTACGCCAATGACTATTTAAAAAAAACTGTTTTTTTCATTATCTACATACATTTTAACAAAAATAATGTCCCTTCTTCTGTGTCGAAATTCCTGTGCGTTTCCGAGTTATTTTGATTTTTATTGTTTGATGTGGTACTAAATTAGTAAATTATTTATTGTCAATTATCTCTTTCCAACGTAATCAAAATAAATATTTGTTATATCAAGCCATACTCAAATACAAGACTTTTATATGTTGAAATCTGTTTAGTACACTAATTTTAACAATCCTTATTTATTATGTGCTGCGTAAATACTAATGTACTGCAACTAAATTACAAAAAAAAAAAAAACATTGAATGAACATTTATGTTAATGTTTATGGAGAATTTTTTTGAATTTATAACAATATTTAATTAACAACTTCTTAAAACTTTTTGGCAACTGCACAATAATGTATTGTATGTATGTAATGTAACAGATATCCACTTATAAAAGTCTTGTATTTGGGTATAGCTTGATATAACAAATATTTATTTTGACTACATTGGAGAGAGGCAAAGAATAAAATATTTCGGCTTTTTAGAATTCTTAACAAACCATATTTAGGTAGGTTTCGTTGAAAGAATTAAATATTTAGCCGGTAATTGATAATATATAATTATAATAATAATAAATAATTACTTAATTTAGTACCACATCAAACACTAAAAATCAAAATAACTCGGAAACGCACAGGAATTTCGAAACAGAAGAAGGGACATTATTTTTGTTAAACTGTATGTAGATAATGAAAATAACAGTTTTTTTATAAAATAGTCATTGGCGTAGAAGTTCTGTTTAAGAAAGGGGTTGAGCACCCCCTCCACTCCGCCACTGTGCAAGTTTTTGAACATTTTTATCGCTTGTTTTATGCCCCTTAATTAATAGGCATTATCTCCCAAACATGAAAAAAATCTAAGTATTCGTTTATAAGTTTATAATGAAAATTCGAGAAAAAAAATTATATTCAACACCCTGTATCTCGGAAACGAAGCCTTCTACGACATATGTTTATAGGAACTTTTCTTTTTAATAATATGTGTTCTATTTCCTGTTAAAGTTTGTCTACAAAAAACTGACTCACCCTGTATATACAGGGTGTTTCTTAATAACGTGCATATTTAAGTAGGTTATTCTTGGGTCCATTTTGAGAAAAAACTTCATGTGAACATATGTCCTAAAAGTTTTAACTTTTGAACTACAGGCTGCTAAAGTTTTATGAAAAAACATTTTTTTATGATAACTTTGGTATTACCCTAGATATTTTTTCAGATTAGGTACACGCCTTCTATTCATCGAGATGCATTAACTGATGTACAAACAATTTTATTATTTTTGCCAGTGGCGTCTGTACAGGTTTTGTATTGAATATTTTTGAAGAAAAATATGTTACGCCACTGTTTTTTGTTAAAGTAAAAATCGTTTTTGAAATCCTCATTCTTTTCTGAGCAAATGTGGTGTCTTGAATTATTTTCGTTTGACGTACGGTTTTCGCATAAAAAAATAAATTTTATTTTATTATGGAGTCATTTTAACAAGAAAATAAGCCTCTAAATAGCCCATTTCGAATATACAAAGTATTGATATCTGTCAATAACTTTCTACCTCGATTGTTTTATGTAAAATAAATACAGTTAAAAGTTATTTTTTTGGTGGATACTCAAATTTGATACTGCACAACGTGCTCCAATATTTTATATACCTTTTCTAGATGCTTAAATAAGCAAATTTCAAAATTGTCTTAAAATTACCGCTAAATAACTATGTAATAACAAATCAGGGAAATGTTTATTTTGGGAGCATATAATCTGAGATTAAATAGTCACGTTTTCCACCACTGATTAAATGATAACCCCGTTTTCTTTATCTGTGAGTATTTGAGAACTTTTTTTTATTAAAACCGATAACAATAAAGAGCTTGAAAGTTAATATAAGAGCGAAAGCTACGTCTCGTGAAGAAGCCCTATTGCTATAATTCTGGTACCAGCTGCACTCATGTTAGTTTTTATTTTAGTTATCTTTGATATTTGTATAGTAGGTATATCATCTTCAGTTACACGTAGTTTAGTAATATAAGATGTAATGATACCTTGGAACTTGTAATATTTCTGTGAAGAAATGTGTCTTACGAAAAGTGAAACCTACCCCATTACTCAAAAAGATCAACTTTCAGTGAGTCTGTTTCCGAATATTTTTCTGACATTTCCACTACCACACTCGAAATCGTAATCTTTAAAAGAAGATTGTGTTATTGAAAAATTTGTAGCCAACTTGGCCAAATAAAGAATATTTTTTATTTGATTTTCACAAGAATTAACAACTTATCAAATATTAATTTACAGGTTACTAGAAAAAAAATGTAAATTGTATATAAAATTTTTGTATGTATATTGAAGATTTTGCTACCACACTATTGTTAAAAATGAAAAGAAAACTTTTGTTAATGTTTTAGAAAATTTCGAGAAATTGTCTTAGTATACTGAAAAAAGTATATACCACAAATTATCGCACATAAATTTTATTTAAAGAGTGATTACATTTATTACAGTTACAAAAGCAATATAAGTATTTAAGTATGTATACCTAAGAAGAAAATAGAAATATCTTGAAATAAAACACAAACAATATTGTAGGATAATTGGCAAATGAATTTCAAAAATGCTGTTAAAGATAATTATAACTTTATATGTCTTTAGATATAGTATATTACTAACATTTTGCATTCAATGAGTGCCAGTAAATAAGAAATTTTGAGACCGTATTGATATCTTCCAGTGTTCATTCCCACATTCAACACGTCTGCATGTGATGGGACAGAGTTAAAGCTAACTGGACATACCTAGTAAACACGTACAAGCTACATGTGTAACATAGAACTTTTATTTGAGGTATAATATGTTTTAGTAAATATTTTCAAAATATAAGTTATTTTCTAATACAAACACAGAGGTAGATGTAAATTGTAGGATTCAATATATATTCAATATTATCAAATTTTACTGCAATACAAACAATACCTACCATTTTTGTGGAATTATGCAAAAATATTTTCTAATGTTACGTATTAAGATTATGACAGATCTTCTGCACAAAATCGAGAACTACAATAATATGGTGATATTTTATCAGGCACATTTTTCTGAATTTTTCTGTAAAATACACTATATTTTTACACTATGATTCCCGAAAATGTTCAGTTCCCTATTGAGTAAGACAGCGCACTGTGGATAAATGAAAATAAACAACATACGTAGACATAAAATTCACAAAGCAAATCACATACAAGCTGTTACAAATTCGTTACTCACTACAGGGATCTCGAAAACGGTAAGAGATACAAGCTAGCTTAAATGGGGGCAAAGTTGCGTAATCAGGGGAACAACATTATGCCTCTAAAAAAAAGGCTAACATGATTAGTTTTCGAAATATTTGAAAAAAATCGAAATTTTGGAAATCCGGTTTTGGTTCATTTGGCCTTGTTTGAGGTGACATTGAAAAAAGAACACTTTCTCATAGCCACTTTTTGCCCTCTATCGAATGGCATAATCAATTTTTTTTTATATGTAACGTTTCGTCTCTCCAGGACATCATCAACTTCATTTTTTTAAATACGACCCTAGAAATTTTATTACATTTTTTGCAAGCCTTCATGATCCCCAATACTGTACTGCATCAGCCCGAACCAGATTCAGACGTTTTGTCTCGAAAAATTCATCTTCAGTGTATTCGTAACAAATTTATCTTTTACTATCACTAATAACTTCAATATAAACTGCTATTATTACTTATAAGGAATCTCCCACTTTTTTTTCGAAAAGCGACCCAATTTTGAGTTATTCTTTTCAATTTATACTACTACAGTTAAACATATCTAAAATAACTGTAAAGCACAAACATTTTATTTGAGGTACTTATTACATATTTTAACTATCAAAAGTTTGGAAAAATAATTTTTATCTGAAGAATTCTCATCACATTTTTTTTAGTGTGAAACGATTAGCTTTAAATATATTTTCGAAATTTTATATTTTGTAATATGTTTCCCTGTATCTGATTAATATAATTGTATGTCAATTCAGTAATTTCTGTATTTAATTAGAAAAACCGTTAGCACAAATTTCGTCAGCCTACGTCAAGCTGAAATACTTATTTGAATAAATGTAATATTTTTTCACTTCAAACTCTATATTTTGACAACCTGTGACTTTCAATCCTTGGTTAATTGTTTTTGGGATTAAAATGAATGAAGAAGCAAACTATTGGAGTGAGAGCACTATGTAATAATTAAAAATAAACATATTTTTGCTGATGTAAGTACAACGAAAACTATTAGTTTTTTTTATGTGATATATAAAAAATCTAATCAAACACTCTATGCTCTATTTAACAAACTTTTGTTTTGCTATCAGCAGACCAAACACCCTTTATTTAACCGCAATTGCTTTCAAAATATGTAACTGTTTCACGTACGCAAAACATTACGTCACTTTTAATTAACGCAATTAAATTATAACTTATTCCACACAAAAAAAGTTATAATTACATTAATTCTAAACAGGAAAGAATACTTCCTGTATAATAATATTCGATACCGCTTACATACTACAAAAATAAAAATCACATTACACATTTCTCCCAGGTAGACGCTCTTGCAGCCCGACAATTTTTTCTTAAAACTTTATAAGGCTGTAACGCAGAAAATAGCACGAAAATGCTGTGAAAGGGAATGTTATTTCGAACCCAGGGCTTTCAAAACCCAGAAAGGTTTATGACCCAATATTAACTGTCTCCTATAATAATTTATGTTAATGGCTTTCGGGCCCAGCTTGTAGCTGAGTAGGGAACTCACAAAACGACAGTTGGTATTGGAACACTGTGAAAAGTGGTGGTGCTGTGCTCGCTTTAAACTGTTGAAATTATTTTACAATCGAAAAGCTCTTCCAAAATCACCCAAGGAAACGAATTTGCAGATCCTGAATGAAATGTGCCTGCTCTCGTAATTGGTAAGAGTTTAACGCGGTTATTAGCATGAAAATTATTATAATTAGCCACTTTAATTGGTCTTATATGCGTATTCTAAACGCACCTGGTTTGAATTACTTTTAATTCTTTTATTTTAAATGTGTGTTTGCGCAATTTCTTAATTAATACGATATATAAGTTAGATTTAAGTTAGGCTACAATCTTATTTGAAATGAAATTCGTGTTTGTAAATAGACGGTTTTAGATTTACCTAAATCATTGGAAGTAGAACAGTAATAATTTAATAGGTAGTACCTTATTTAAATATATTTTTTTGTACAGTGGAGAACATTTTGGGCAATCGATTGGCGCCATTACGTTAATGTTTATATTTTCTGACGCGCGCAAAATTGACAAAACGCATGTGCCGTGATTTCTCCAAATCAATACAAGGAATTTGCACTTGCCATTTTATTTGCTTCCATCCTAATGAACTCTCCTTGCGCACACTACATATCCATATTTTTGTTTTTATTGCACATTTTATTTTAAACGGTAAACAAGTGACGTAGCCGTCTGATTTGATAACCTTGAAGAACCTTCTGCACTTTCTCTCAGGTTGTTTTCATACTCGCACGATGCATTAAAAATAGCTGGGTTGTTTCGACTTGCACTCCTGTGTTTTGGTTTCTATAATAATTACGAAATAACAATTGTAGGTGGTGACACATTTACTGTTAAATTGTTACTTATCTTGGTGCCAAATACCACGACTATGAGGTCAGCTTTATTCTTGCTAGCGGGAGCCCGAGAGAAATATGTTTGTCTCATCTTACTATTTAATGCGGGCTTAATAACACTGGCGACAATTTCAAATTGTACATAATTCAAAAAGAATTTTAGGTCAACAGTTGAAACCACTCCGTTTATTCACAAAAATATGAAATAACCGATTGTTTAATAGGTGACGCCATGAAATTGTCGGATGAACTCGCCATTATTAAAAAAATTGATATAAAAATTTCAAACCTAAACGTAACAGAATTGTTATAAAAGTTCAAATACTTATATCTCGGTCTTTATATGTTTAAAAACATATCCGAGGTTCTGCTAAAACTCACCAGATGGCTCCATCTATTATTACTGAAAATAGTTGTGAATGTTAATTTTAAGCGAATTATGGAGCTTGATGATTAACCCCTAATAATTTTCTCAATTTTGGTTAAATAACATTATGCTTTTAGAGAAGCATCTTTATCTAATGTAATTGTGTGAATACTTTACTCGAAAATATTACTTTTATATATTTGGTATGTTTCAAATGTTATGGAACCTATGTTTCAGATAAGAATGTTTCTACCTAAATAAAAAAAGAGAAATATAGTACACGATAATTTATAACTGCATATACATACTGCATATGTCCATAATTTCATAGAGTGGAGATATCCAGGGACTTTTTCAAAATTAGGATGTACCTATTTCTATGTAAACGCTATAAAATGGATATGTTTAGTTATTGTCTGTAATAATTGAGGCTAATATGTAAAAACTATGAGTAATGTAAATGTATATCTTTGACCAACTATAATTTTTATTAGAGTACAAATTTATACACATTAAGTGACGATACAGATAACTAATATTTAAATCTAACCAAATTTTAAACAAATTGCGAAAATGTACATTGAACCATAATTATCATAGAATGTACCCATGCATGGAGAAATTGGAAAGAAGCAAAATATTTTTATTTTTCATTTTGTGGAAAGTCATTATTATTACAAAAAATGTTATGGCGTGCTTGACCTCTATAGTAAGAATTGATTAGAAATATAATAGTTGATTTAATCATTAGAAATTAATAATACCATTATGCGGCTTAAGAAAAATATAAATAGCTAGACAATTTCCAACATCTAATATACAGGATTATAACTTTTTTATAAGAAAAGGAACATTCGCTTTATAACGATGTATAACTTATGGGGTTTTCATAGATAAATAACCAAGATATTGAATATAATTATTATTTTAATAAAGAATGTCAAGTAGCCAAGTGAAACATTTGAATTTTTTCTATAAATTAATTTAATATCCCTTATTTTTAATACTTCTTAACACAACAACCTTTATTTACATAACAATAACAAGAGCAACTAATAAAACAACATATATAAAGCAAAACAAGGTTAAATGGTAAATTTAAGTGCATAACCATTACAATTTCTACATTTCTGTACTCTTTAGATAAAGGACCTTTTTCGTACAAGATATAGAAAATTTTACAAAATTAAAATTAATGGGCAAGTACTATTTAATGACGAGTGAATAAAAATATCAAGGCAGGCTGATTGTCTTAATATTGACATACACTTGATTTGCGATCTCCTAATCAATTTTTCTATAAATTTTATAAAAAAGGCACATTACATACTTCATAAAAACTACAAGTTGTTTCACATCATGTATTTCAAATACAAAAAGAAATCATTATAGTTTTTCCGTAATGTTGAAATGAAATCTACCGTGTTTTTTGTATGAAGTTGTTAGATGAATGTTTTTGCACTACCTATCGAAAACTCATACCTAACGATAAAAAACTTTATTCAGTTAGTAGCAGCACGATCTAAAACTTTCTTCATTTAACCATTTTTCCGTATCTTATAGTTTTCGGGATACCAATCTGGTTAAAATGGCCCACTTGAAATGAGAAGTACCTACACACTCTGTGTACTACCTCTGATCGAAAAGATCACACTGATGCTTCTTAAAACAGTGAAAACGTTTGTTGACGAAATAGTGAAAAAAAGAATATTTTTTCAAATGTGCCTAATGATTGGAGACATAGATGATTTACGTTCACAAAAAATATTACTATAAATCCTTACATCTGGAGTTATATTTGAAGAGTATCTTTAAGGAATTTGGTATCAGCATCATCATTTCAGTAGTCTACGACCTATACCTTCCATTTTTCAGGACAAGGTTCAGCTATCTTAACAACCAAGTTACTTTATGGCATATAAAAAATCCATAACCTCCGTTATATTCTGCACCTTTGCATTATGGCCATTACCTTTCAAGTATAAGATAGCCACTTGGTTCTTAAAATTTTACAGTGTGACGGTAAACGTATACTGTATTAAAAGGAAAATTGCTTTAAAAATAACACGTACCTACCGCTACGTAAATAATATACAGTGTGTGTCCACCGAAGCAGCTGAAGGACGAGAATACTTTTTTATTATTCATTTCATGAAAAATAGAAATTTTTGTTAAAAAATTCCGCTTGTGTTCAAAAGTAAAAAATGGTCGACCTCTATTAAGAAATAGTTAGAAATATTGTGGTTACCTAATAAATACACTAAGTTAATAAATACACAGTACACTAAATACACCAAGTTAATAAATAAACACACTAAACAACTAATACAATATAAATACACTAAATAAAAAAATAAATACAAATAATAAATAAATAATACAAGTTAATAAAATAAATACACTAAGTTAATTAAGAAACGCTTAATATCCAACATATAATATGTACAGGGTGTCCTCAGACCGTCTTAATCTTTGGTGTTAACGACAAACAATTTTTGAGCAGATAGGTATTTCACATTCTGGCAAAACGAATCTGCTTTGTTAAAAAATACTATGCAATTTATTTATAAAAAACTAAGCATGTTTTAACAATAACAAAAAAAAAAATAGTTTCTGCTTAGGCAATGTGCCTTTTTTATTTTATTAAGAAACATTAAAATTTTTCAATGTACCCATCCTTAAGTGCCTTTTTGGGTAAAAATATCGAAAAAATATTTACTAAGAATTATTTAATTTGAAGTACGGGCATAAATTTTTAATACAAATAATATTTATCCAATTTTTTTAAAAATATAATCCGTAGGTATATACAATATTTGTTGAGATAGAATCCCCTGCATCACTTTCTTGGAATTAATCGCACTCGACACCCAAGATAGAAAGACACTGGCGATATTGTAAGGAATGCACCTTACATGAAGAATTCACTACCTGCACAGAATTTTTTTGCTTCTGACAAGGCTGTAGCTTTTTACCTACCTTTTCGCCAAAATTTAAAATTTTCAATTTTTGTTGTTGATATACTTACGAATAAGATAATATAAATATATCCCGTATATATTAAATGCTGAAAAATGATTGGTCATTGATGTATTGTTTGACCGACTTAGCGTATTATTTAAAGGATAAATACGACTACATTTCAAATCATTTTTTGGCAGAGGACATCCTGTATATGGCAATCTAAAAATATATATTTTTATACATTTGAACACAATCATGAACTCTATCATAACAGCAAATATAATTTGAAATATCCTTAGAAGACAAAAGTCGGGAATTAAAATTATTCTCAGCCCCTGGAACTATGCCTCAGTATGTAAAAAATCGATACCATGTGCATACATTTGTGGATAATCATAAACTTAAATGCTAAATTTGCAAGAAATCGCTTAAACCTTTTTTCTGTACCTACATAATTAAAATCATTTTCTTTTTCCAATATCAACACCCTGTATCCCAAAAACAAAGCGTTTCTGGAATTACGTTTATAGAAACTGTTTTCTTAGTTGGAACCTGTATAAATAATCAACTTGTGTTTTCATTCACCCTGGCAGCTTGATATTTTTTAAACATAGTAAGACACATTGAATACATATTTGCAATGAATAGTCAATAAATGAGCGCGACATGTGCAGAAAAATAATTCGCGTTGACTTAATGATTACTTAATAACTTGTACAATCAACTGTTGGGTTTAAAGTAAATTTATTTGTTTGAATACGATGTCCTGAATTAACCGATACTATAATGGATGTTAATTAAGTACGTTGACAAACTCTCATTAGCAATTTTTTGAGTAATTTAGAGATAAAAAGGCTGTACTTACAGACCGTAAGACGATAGATTCATTTTCTAGAATATCCCTAAAGATGCAAAATGATAGCTTAGACTAGTGATTTATCTAATTAAAAGTCCACTAAATTTGGACATA